CCACTGCAGCGCCAACGACCTCGCGTCCAAGCTCAACGACCCACAGCAGATGCACATCTTTGACGAGATGACCGACAACTGCCGCATCATCGAGGCGCTCAACCCGGCCGAGACCAAGACGATCCGGTATGTGCAGGCCAAGCCGGTGTTTCCGACGACGGCGCGCGACTTTCTTGTTGTGACGAGCGAGCAGCGCCTCGACGACGGGTCCATTGTCATTGGCACCAAGAGCGTCGAGCACGACAGCGTGCCGGTCGACAAGCATTTTGTGCGCGCGCACACGCACGTGTCGGGGTACATTGTTCGTCCGTTGACGCCGACGTCGTGCTCGGTGACGCTGATCGTGCACATGGACCTCGGCGGCTACATGCCGGCGTACGTGATCAACCTCTTGTCGGTGGCGTCGCCGATCCAGTTGCTGAAGCGGTTCCGCGTTCTGTACGGTCGGTCGTAAACGGCATCTTTGTTATTAATTTATTGATTTATTCATTTGATGCAAGTATTGTCATGTGACGTGTGGACAGCTTACACAAGCGATATCGACCAATCGCTAACTGTGTACCGTTTGACGGTGGATATCGTCGCCGTCATGACATGCAGGAACTTGCTTTTGAGATAAACAGTTGATAACAGCGGAGCCGGTCTCTCGTATAATCTCCGAGGTTTGCTCGAGATCGATCAGCGTAGAAGAACGAAGTCATGCGGCAAGCTGTCATATACCTCAAACGCACTCGGGTTGCTACTACAATTGTAGTACTAGCAAGGGTCAATAATCAGATTATTGACCCTTGGTACTAGTAAGCACACGGGTCTCGCGGCGCCGACTGGATGGTCCGTGAAGAATACCAGTAGCGTGGAAGAGATGCCCGTCTTTGCAAATGCAGAGCCCTCGAAGCTGACGCTAAACACGTGCAATTACTATAAACGGAGCAGGCCATCGCAGGCTTGTCCCTCCCGAGTGCAAGCCAAGCTTGATCCGGATGGCAAAGCTCCCGAGGGTCCCACGACGTCGCCAAGCAGCCAGAGCCATAAAACTCACCCCCAACTCTGAGTCATCCAATTTGAAGCCAAACGTATCTCTACACCATCGCCTTAGGTGTCTTTCTTAGAGTCTTTCTTATTCTTCTCGGCCTCCCTGCTAGGATTTTAGGGACTTTGCGAGCACCGCTATTACGATAGTGCACAATACTGTCCTTTTTCGCTGTACCAAACTTGTATGCGTCGTTCAGCCTCGCGTCCACGTGTCGCCCGCGATGTGGCGCCTGAGACGTGGGGCGCCAAAGCACGCGCCAAAGTGCCCTTTGGCCCTTGCATTTCGGATAATTTCTGAATACGTCCGGATAATGATCTTGGGTCCCGGTTGGTCCGAGGTCGTATTTAATCCATTCTGGCATCTTCTCTTGTTTTTTGTATTGATCATTAAATATCGTATTCTATTGGCATCCCAGCTGGCAATGAAACCTGTTGCAGAAAGGACGCCTTCCATCGTCATTTCCAAAGTCGCCCACATGTGCGTCCAAGAGCCCAAGCAGACGCGCGAGTTTGCGCGCCTTCCGACGTCCGTCCAGCCCATCAAGGTATTTTGCGATCTTTTGCAATAGTCTGACAGCATTGCTGTGTCGGTAGTACACGCTCGACTATGATGTGATCGATTTGGACAGCTTTCGCTTTGAAGGCGCCGAGACGATTGCGATCGCGATCGCCGAAGACACCGATAGCATCACGTGCCACGCCGTCGAGCTCTGGGTCCACGACGTCAGCGTCACGCTGGCGTCGGGCGCGTCGATGGCCTGCAACGAAATCCGGTACACCAAGTTTGACGAGTCGGTCACGTTTGTGTTTTCGGAAACGCTGGCAGCAGGCTCGACCGCGACGCTCCACCTGCGCTTCCACGGTATTCTCAACGACAAGCTCAAGGGCTTTTACCGCAGCGAGTACACGCAGAACGGCGAGCGCCGCGTCATGGCCGTGACCCAGTTTGAAGCGTGCGACGCGCGCCGCGCCTTTGTGTGCTGGGACGAGCCCGCGATCAAGGCCAAGTTTCAAATCTCGATGGTGACGCCCATCGACCGCGAAGCCATCTCCAACACGCACGTGCTCTCGACGCTCGTCCGCCCCGTGAAAGCCGCGCATTTGACCAAGAACGCCAATGCCTTTGAGAAAAAGTGGACCTTTGCCGAGACGCCCATCATGTCGACGTACCTCGTGGGCATGGTCGTCGGTGAGTTCGACTACGTCTCGGCGTACACGGCTGAAGGCGTGCTTGTGCGCGTGTACACGCCGGTCGGGCGCAGTGAGCGCGGTCGGTTTGCGTTGGACGTTGCGACCAAGTGCCTCTCGTTCTTCACGCAGAAGTTTGGCATCCCGTACCCGCTCACAAAGCTCGACATGCTCGCGATCCCCGACTTTAGCGCCGGCGCGATGGAGAACTGGGGCGTTGTGACCTACCGCGAGATGCGTCTCCTCATTGACGAGAACGCGTCGTCGATTGCGCAAAAGACCGCCACTGCGCGGACCGTCTGCCACGAGCTCGCGCACCAATGGTATGTCCTTTGTTTTTCGCTTGGGTGTACAAGGACAAGTTGACCATTTTTGAAAATGATTAGGTTTGGCAACCTCGTGACCATGGAGTGGTGGACGAGCCTCTGGCTCAACGAAGGGTTTGCGCGCTTTATGGAGTTTGACGCGGTCGACCACATCTTCCCCGAGTGGAACATGTGGACAAGCTTTGTCCAAGATATTACCATGGGCCTGGCGATGACCAAGGACGCGATGCTCTCGTCGCACCCGATCGAAGTCGAAGTGCACCACCCCGATGAAGTCGACCAAATTTTCGACACGATCTCGTACGCCAAGGGCGCGAGCGTCATCCGCATGCTGGCCAACGTCGTCGGCCTCGACCAGTTTTACGCCGGCGTCCACAACTACCTGCTCCAGCACAGCTACGCCAACGCGCGCACCGAGGATCTCTGGGACGCGTTCGAGGCCGCCTCGGGCATGGAGATCACGGCCATGGCCAACACGTGGACCAAGCAGACGGGCTTCCCCGTGCTCTCGGTCACCGAGACGGACGACGCGACGCTCGAGCTGTCCCAGAGCCGGTTCCTCGCGTTTGGCGACGACAACGAAGGCAGCCGCTGGGACGTGCCGTTGACGCTCTCGACGCCGATCGAGACGACGTCGACGACCATTTGGACGCACGACAACGAGACGTTCTCGATGCAAAAACCGTCGGATGCGCCGTGGTACAAGCTCAACGCACAGCAGACGGGCTTTTACCTTGTCAACTACCCGGCGTCGGCGTGGGCGGCGCTCAAGGAACCGGTGCGCAGCCTCGAGCTCGGCGTTGTCGATCGTGTGTCTTTGCTGTCGAGCGTCTTTATGCTGGCCCGCGCCGGCGTTGTGAGCTGCGCGGACGCGCTCGCGTTCTCGGACGCGTTTGCGGCCGAGCCCGAGTACCTGTGCTGGAAGGAGCTCTCGGAGAACCTCCAGGCGTACACGTCGCTCTTCCACGACGACGAGGCGTGCGCGCCGGCGCTCCGCGCCTACGTCCAAAGCCTCTACGCCAACGTCTTTGCGTCGCTCACCTGGGACAAGCTTGAGACGGACGTTGAGATGACGAGCAACTTTCGCCGTATCGTGCTCGCGATGCTCGGCGGCGCCCGCGACCCGGACGTCCTCGCCGAGGCCTCGCGCCGCTTCCACGCCGGAAACCCCTCGGCGGACTTGCGCTCGGTGGTCTACTCGCTCCACGCACGCCAAGCGACGTCGCCGTCCGAGGCCAAGGCCGTGTTCGACTACTTTGCCAACATGTACGTGACGAGCGATTTCATCGAAGAGCAGCTCGACTGCCTCTCCAACATTGGCAAGATCCCGGGCCTCAAGCTCGAGACGCTGCAGTGGGGCGTCGAGAACGTGCGCGCGCAGGACATCCAGTACATCTTTAGCAGCGTCGCGGGCGACATGGCCGGCGCCGACCTCGCGTGGACGTACGTGCAGACGCACTGGGCGGCACTCAATGCCAAGTTCACGCCGGTCCAGGTCGGCCGCATCCTCACGTCGGCGATTGCGCGCTTCCAGAGCGAAGACCGCGCGGTCGAGGTCGAGGCCTTCTTGGCCACGCGCCAGCACCCTGTGTACGCGCGTGTCGTGGACGCGACGCTCGAGCGCATCCGCACCCGCGCCGCCATGTACGCCCGCGACCAAGACAGCATGCGCACTTGGCTCGCGACGCTGGTCGCCGAGTAAATAGGACGCGCTGGTTGAAATCGGAATATTCGGTTTGTGTTTTCTGTCTGTTTCGAGCGTCTCGATGCAGTTCGACTTGTCGCCCAACGCGCCATCGCAGTCCTGCTCCAAATGAGTAGTACTCGTCGCCGGACTCGCTAATGCACGTCTCGGAGCCGCACAAAGTACGCGTGGGGTCGCACGCGTCGAGAATGTCGACGATGCGGAGGCCGTCCTGCGCGTCTTGGGCCGAGGGCGTCAGGGCGAGCCAGCTGGCCAGCTGCCGACCGTCTCCAAGGTTGCCACGGCCGCGTGGGCTTGCTACGTGACGCCTTCCGAGACGATCCCAAAGGCCGTTTGGTTCGAGTCTACGTCCTGCAATGATGGTGTGCGTGATCCATGCCCAGAGGCATCCACTACAGCTTCTCTTGCTCATGGAGGCTGCTCGCTGTGCATGCTACATCCCAATAGCAAATGCCGCTACCTTGACAAAAGTCCACGCTGACAGAACTCAACTAGTAAGGCTCGACAATGGAACAGCTATTGGTATGCATACTCTCGACTCGTCTGTTTCTGCTCAAAAGCCGAGCCATTGCAAAATTGTCGATGCGGCCAACAGTCGTTCCCATGAAGACTGCTGCGCCGTTGAGGCAGTCTGCAGCGCAGTTGAAGCCGCCGACAGGTACCGGTATGTTTACGCCAGCGCTCTGAACTATAAGATCTGATAGCCTCACGGTCGACCAGTAAGTAGTACACTGTAAAACCCCGATGAGTGTCCGCCGCGTCGCCAAGCAACATACCAGCGGTGTGCCCACGTTTGGCTTTGAAGTCGCGTGACAGCATCGAGAGCCATAGGAATCGCCTTCTGGTTGTCCCGTCTCGACACCTGCCAGCTTGCTGTTTGTGCAATGCGCATTTGTCAAGATCCAGGTTCTATTTTGATTTGCCAATCACTTCAACATCGCGCTGATTGGTCAAAATTTTATAATGCAACCGCAGAAAAATCTTGTCGTGGCACGTCCGCCGCGTCCAACGGGCTCGTCTTGGACGGCGAAGGTGGGGTATGGGCGCCTGCGTAGCTCGTTGCAGTCGGCGCCACTGGCAGCACTGGGCTACGATCAATAGGGGCTACGATGATGATAATCATGGATCGCGTGGGCCGTGGGCACAACTTCAACATCCGTTGGTGACCACCAGGTGGTCACGCGATTGCGCATTCACGTGGCCTGTTCTTGTGGTGGCTTTTACCGCGCCAAGGGTAAACGCGCTCTGGGATCGGTTTCACCTGGTTTGGATTTGTATACGGGCGAGCGACGACTCGATTTAGCGCACCGATTGAGCAATCGCTGGAGAAGACGCTTCAAGTTTTGTAGTTTCCAATTTCCTTTGCTTCTCGCAGCAACATGCTCCGCCGCGCCGCTGCCCTTCGCCGCGCCTGCCATCCACGCTCGTATGCGACCATGACCCGGGGCATTGGCCACCTCCGGCCGGCCCCGACGTCGATTCCCGAACTCACGCCGGCCAAAGCCACGGTAGCCGCCGCACCCAAGCCCGAGCTCACGGACGAGTACATTGGCAAGACGGGCGCCGCGATCTTTCACTCGACGCTCGCCGAGCTCGGCGTCGACACCATCTTTGGCTATCCCGGCGGTGCGATCCTCCCCGTCTTTGACGAGATCCACGAGTCGCCCCACTTTGACTTTGTCTTGTGCCGCCATGAGCAAGGCGCGGGCCACATGGCGCAAGGCTACGCCCGCGCGACCGGCAAGCCCGGCGTTGTCCTCGTCACGTCCGGCCCGGGCGCGACCAACACGGTGACGCCGCTCCAAGATGCGCTCATGGACGGCACGCCGATGATCGTCTTCTCGGGCCAAGTCGCGACGCCGGTGCTTGGCAGCGACGCCTTCCAGGAGGCCGACATTATGGGCATCACCCGCCCGTGCACCAAGTGGAACGTTCAAGTGCGCAACATCAAGGACCTCGCGCGCCACCTCCGCGAAGCCTACCACATTGCGACGACCGGCCGGCCAGGGCCCGTGCTCGTGGACCTCCCAAAGGACATCACCGCCGGCCTTTGCAAGACGGCCGTCACCAAGACGCCGCAGCTCATTGGCTACTATGGCGAGAACAAGGTCGACGGCAACCGCGTGGACCAGTCCGAGAACCTCCAAGCCGCGGCGGCGCTCATCAACAAGGCGAAGAAGCCCGTCATTTACGCCGGCCAAGGCACGATCCACTGCAGCGAGGCGCTTCGGGCGCTCGCCAAGCAGTTCAAGCTTCCCATCACGACAACGCTCCAAGGCATGGGCGCGTTCGACGAGACGGACCCGCTGAGCTTGCACATGCTCGGCATGCACGGGTCGGCGTACGCCAACTACGCGATCCAAGAATCGGACTGCATCATTGCGATCGGCGCGCGCTTCGACGACCGCGTCACGGGTCGTGTGCCCGACTTTGCGCCCGAGGCGCGCCGCGCCGCGCGTGATGGCCGGGGCGGGATCATCCACTTTGACATCTCGGGCAAGCAGGTCGGCAAGATCGTACCGGCGACCGTCGGTGTCATTGGCGACGCCAAGTACAACATCGAGCAGCTTCTGCCGCTCCTGGTGCGCGACGAGCGCCCCGAGTGGCACGAGAAGATCCAGGGCTGGAAGAAGGCGCACCCGTTCCGGTACCGCCCGGCCGCGCCCGGTATGCCCATGAAGCCGCAGCGCGTCATTGAAGAGCTCTACACGCAGACAAAGACAAACGACAAGGTCATCATCTCGACCGGCGTCGGGCAGCACCAGATGTGGGCGGCTCAGTTTTACCGGTGGCGCAACCCGCGGTCGTTCTTGACGTCCGGCGGCCTCGGCACGATGGGCTACGGTCTTCCGGCCGCGATCGGCGCCAAGATGGCCAAGCCCGACCACATGGTCATCGACATTGATGGCGACGCCTCGTTTGCGATGACGCTGACGGAAATGGCGACCGCCGCCGAGTTCAACGTCGGCGTCAAGGTGCTCCTTTTGAACAACAACTTTCAAGGCATGGTCAAGCAGTGGCAGGACCTCTTTTACGAGAAGCGGTACTCGGGCACGGTCATGAAGAACCCGGACTTTGTCAAGTTTGCCGAGAGCATGCACTGCCAAGCGATCCGCTGCACGGACGAAGCCGACCTCCCGCGCGCGATGGCCGAGTTCCTCGCCGCCGACGGCCCGATCCTTGGCGAGTTTGTCGTCGAGAAGGACGAACACTGCTACCCGATGGTCGGCGCTGGCCGCGCCCTCGACGAGATGATCTTTGGTGACTTTGACGACTGCCCCGGCACGACGTCGCAGTAAGCCGCCGTGTCGACGTCGACACCGACTAACTAACTTATACATGTTGCAACTTGATAACCATGACAATTTATGTGGCCCCCTGCCTGGACCGAAAGTGTGGGTGACTGGGACGAACACAGTCGATGTCTCTTTTGTATTAGGTAGTATAAAACACTCCACGTCTCTTTATTGAGGCTGAACGCTTAGTATGCGGAGGCCGAGAGCGACTCAAGTTGAGACTGCCCGCCGTGCTGATGACATCGACATGAAGCTACGACCGACTTGTGCGACAGACAATATTTAAAAAGCAATATCTACTGCTTTAATAATACTTTTTATTTTAGAACGAAATTGACGTGTTCGGGTCTGGATCGCATGTTGAAGACAGTGGACGCCGGCGCACGTACGCTCTCAGCCACTTGCGCCTGCTTTACGCCCGAGGACTTTTTTTATCCTCCGTCGGTCGTCTGTCTGGAGTCTAGAGCGGCCGCTCTAGGCACAGTAGCACAGACATGGGGCGCGCGTGTCTGATCTCACAGTACAGTTGAAGCGCAACTCGGTGGAGGCCGTAAATTAATAATTAAAAAATACATACACGCGGTCGGCTTAGCCGTGGTGGGCAGGCTCGTCACCGGAAATCGTGTCCATGAGCTTGTTGGCCTTGACGAGCTTCATGACGCTCTCGCAGCCACCAATGTGCTTGCCGTTGATAAATACGTTGGGGATCGTGCACTGCTGGGTCATGTCCCGGAGCGCGTCCTGGATGTGGGCGCCTTCGTCGAGGTCGTCGAGATCGATCGTGAGCGATTGAATGTCCATGTCGTCAAAGAGCTCCTTGACACGCTCCGAGAATTGGCAGTACGACTTGGAGAAGAGCACGACCTGGCTCGCGCCAATCAGTTCCTAGTGCCGCACATGAGCTTATACTGCTGCGAGCGCTGTCGTTTGTACCTTGACGGCCGACTTGGTGACGTCCGAGGACGAGGCCTCCATGTGCATGCGGCGGCAGGCGGCGGCGACGACCTTGCGCGAGAGAGCGATCGAGTGCATCATCTAGTTGTACGTGGTCGACGGCGGATGGGATTGTGTGACGAACGACGGGACCCAGCCAGAGATGATTGGCGAACAAAGTGGGCGAGTCACATGGATTTTATTATTTTATTACTGGCAACCCACGCTGTGCGCGTATTTTTTTAAATTTTGCGCTGCGACATGCGAGCGAACATCGCCATCGAAGCTTTTTTATTTGATTGGATCCAATTCGAACCAATAAATTAAATAAATTAAATCCACCGCGTGACGTGGCAGTGCTGGGAGAGTCGCCGTTGGGTTGGCGTCGGGAGAGACCAAGTAATTGTCCATTTCAGATTCGGAGTCAGATTCGAATCCAGTTTTGTCGGACGTGTACGGGTTTCACGTGATCGACGACACCGTGTTCTGTCCGTGTGCGGACTGGATGTCAGGTATAGGATAAGGATCCTGCGCCATGTCGGCTTGTCGTCAAGGCAAGCAAGAAGAGCGATGGCGACGTCCCATGGCTCATGGCGACATGCTGAAGCGAGAAGGCGACGAAGAGTATAAACGACGGACGGTTTTCTGATCTGCACGTTGCAGTAGCCGACGCTGGCTGTCAAGTGTCGCTGCATGTGATGCGCCACCACAGTGTGCTACACGACACACAATGTACGCTCCCACGAATTCGCTATAGGATCACTTGCGCAAAGATAAGTTTTATTGACCTTTGACAAGGTGTCCTAAACAAGAGTTTTGCCCTGACGACAAGAAGCCGCGTATGGATCTCAAACGAAGCGTGCTGCCAAGGTGATGGGCAAAAAATAAACCAACGACCCGCCTCTCCACCTCTGGAACGTAGGATTGCGCATGAGGTGGTGACGTATACGCACATGATTGTGTATCGTCAAGGAACGAACCTCGATGTACGCTCGCACACAGCCGGGCTTGGCGTTGAGCAGCAAAGTACAGTATTTTCTATTTACAAAGAATAGTGTATTATAACACTATTTCATGTCGTTTTGTATCTTGGCGAAAGGGTGCACTTTCCATCGTTGCCGTGATCCATGGGACCGACAGAGGACGACAACCAGGGACCGGTGCTCAAGGACGAAGACGTCGTCGCCGTCGGTTCGATTTCCAACGTCCTTCGGCGCGCGTTCCGAGACTACTACACGGACGACTTTGACGAGCGGCTCAACAGCGAATGGGCGACACCGGTAGACGTTCTTCAACTTCGTTGGCAGGTACCTTAGCACGCTTTCTCGCAGGCGCCAAAGACGACCAGCGAAAACCATTCCAACGACGCCGACAACAACGACAACAACAATGACCAAGCGACAGATGCACCCGAGGTACCCGCGATACATTGCCACGACCACCTCGTCACGACAGGCGCAGGAGCCCGAACATCCCTATTTGGTGTATGGCCGCCAACGCGTCGCCGAAGTGGAAGCCGGTACGCTCCGCCACTGTGACAACACTCTGCAGCTGCGTAGACCTTCGGGCCAAGGTGCAGCAGGCCACCGACCTGATGGCGCTGCTCGAGACCCGCCGCCGCGAAGCCTTGGAGAAGGACGATGCGCAGGTAGGCTCTCGATTCAACTCGCAGTCTATCCGAAGACATTTATGCACTAGGCGCGGGAGCTCATCAAGCAAGGACTCGTCGTGAAGGCCCAAATCCCAATCGGACCCTCCAACTTCCGCCTTGACCCCGCCGAGCTGGAGCCGTTTGGTAGTACAGGCTTTCGAGCGCAACGCAGAGAATGTGCTAAGCACCTCTTTGTATGCACAGGTGAATTTGCCCGGTCGCTGATCCAGGCGCGCACGCTGCTGGAAGAGAACCATCTCAAAATGCTCGATCGGTCCGGCAACGGCCCCACGGCGCAGATCAAAGGTGTCTCGAGTCTCGTATATATATGCACAAAAATGTTTCAACGCGCCAACGATTGTAGCGGCCAAGGCGGCGATCGAGACCCCGGGGTACCTCAAGTCGACGTCGACGGTTCAAACCCGCAAGGACACGACGTTGCACAAGTTTCACATGAACGAGCACGGCGACGACGAGTACATTAGCGACTTTGTTGACGAGGTCGCACTTGTTGGAACACTTGATAGACTGATAGATATAGAAGCGTAGGTCGTGCCACGCGCCAAGCCCAAGCCCAAGGCGGTTGCGCACACGATTTCGACGGACGACGCAGCGATCAACAACAAGATTCTACACCGCATGCAGAGCACGCTCAATTTTGTGCGAAACCCGCGCTTCGATACCGCCAAAATAACGCTGGAGTACCGAAATTCCCGTGTTTTGAAAGACCAATTTCACACAAATATGCATCTCGTCTAGGTCGGAGCCGCCGTTTGTTGTGCAGCCCCACCCCGTCGAATTTTTGGCCTACGAGATTGGCGGCATTTACGAACAGCTCGTTTTGATCAAAAACGTACGTACTGTGGGCGATACATTTTGGATTCCTATATTTTGACAATATGGATAGATGAGTGCAATCAGCTGTCGGTGCCGTGTACTGCCGCCAGCGACGGCGTTCTTTATGATTGCATCGGTTCAATTCCCAGATGCGAGCGGGCTTATTGCGCCAGGTATGCTCGATACATTGAAACGAAACCAGTTCCATGGACGGGGTAGGGCTCAGCTGCCAAGTGCGCATTCAATTTGCGCCCGATACGCGCGCCGACTACAACGACGTGTTTGTCGTCATGATGGACACACCGCAGGGCACGGTACGGGAAAAAATGCTTTGCAAATACTTGATACACTGATACTTCGATGGTTGCAGGATATACCGGTGCAAGTGCCCATTTTAGCGCACCGTGAGCCACCGCAGCTCTCGATTCCGTCGACGCTGCAAGCCCACTGCTGCTTGATCGGAGGTGGTGCAACACGTATGTCCTGACACTCAGACAGCATCGTAGACACGTGCGTCACGACGATTTCGTGCCTCAACCAAGGTGGCCGTGGCCGTTTTTGGCTCATGACCGAAGATGAATGGGAGAACGCGCTGTTGCACTCGTCGCTGATCGACCACATCAATGCGCTCGCGCGCGAGCCCCTGCCCGCGGTACGATCCTGCGTCCACGCTGTGACGTATATTGCAATGTTGAACTAGACACCAAAGGCCCTTTGCGTCGGGCCCTTTCAGCTCTCCCCGAGTGCCTTTGATCTCCAAAAAGGTGTCGTTGATCAGTAACCTCGCTTGCTGATGCAGAACGCAGGCGCCGTTGTCGAGCTCAAACTAACGTACACACCGACCATGGTCGGGCATCAAGTGGTGCCGTTCGTCGTCGTGTGCGGTAGGACCGACGCTCTCTGAACAGACTTAGCCGACTTGAGATGTGTAGACAACTGTCTGGTCAAGACCTTCCAGTTGGCGGGCGAAGGGTGTGAGATTTACGTATTCCCAATCGCGGTCAACCAGACGGCGATCGAGACCAAAGTGCAAACCATGGGGTAGAGTCATTTTCCTGCCGCCTCTCTTCGATTCTCATGTGGTTGTGTAGGCCGTTAGACCGCCTGCTCTTTCCGCCGCTAGTCGTCGAGTACGCTACCCTCTTGGTACTCGACAGTGTCTCATCGATTTGCATAGATCGTCGTCGTCGCAGACGTTTGAGCTTTGGAACGACACGCGGCTCGACTTGCCCTTCAAGTGGCAGCTGCGTACACGCCCGCGATCGTGACAAGGTCTCATTTTGCTGGTGGGGCGTAGAGGAGCCCAGCGTGTTTCGTGTCGCCCCGCCGCAGGTACCGCGCGCCACCGCACACTAGTCGACCACGCGCTCTAGGGCACACTCACGCGTCAAAGCGCCCTCCGCTTCCACGTCACGTTCGAGCCGACGGTAACTGCTCTGTGCGCTGATCAAAGTATGGACAACTTGTCATTCTAGAAAGTTGCGTCGTTTGCGACGACCGCCAGCTTGATGATACTGAACGTGCCACCCTTTTGCTTGCCCGTACGCGCCGCTGACCGCGTCGACGGAGTGCGGTACGCCAACCGTTGTCGTTGGCGAGGCTCCTAGCGACAATGCGCCTTATAGCCCTCCGTTGACAAGCGTGGTGGCGATGCAGCTGCTTCTCGAAGGCACGGGGCGACATGTAAACGACTGTCGTTTTCGCGCAAACGTGAAAGAGATATTGGTTCGTAGGCGCTCGTCAAGGTCGCACCAAGTGTTGTGGCGTTCGGCGCCGCCGTGCCACAGCAGCAGCCCCTTGCCGTCAACTTGACGTTGACCAATTCGAATGACACGCAAGTACATTTCGACTGGCACGCGCTACCCCCTAGTACGTGTATCTTGCATGACGCACCATTTATGCCAACTAGATGCAACGATCACGCCCACGACCGGCGTATTGAGCGCCAATAGCTCGACCATCGCCAAGCTCCAGTACACCCCACGTAGGCCCACCAACGCTTTGTCGAGGTTGTGAATTTATCGTGGTAGTACTCACGGGCGGGTTTGCGCTGCCGCTGACGTGCCACATTGGCCAAGGCCTCAAGGAGCCGAGCGACAACGTCTCCGTTTGGGTCGAAGGCACTGTGCCACGCCCGCACATTCGGCTCCTCTCGCCCGAGGTACCAACTTCGATGTATCAAGATGGGATACGACGGGATTGGCTAGATTGACTTTGGGCTTGTCTCGGTCGGGCACTCGGCGACGCAAGTGCTGCGCTTCCGAAACGAATCGACAGCAATTAGTATCGTATGGCTCGCAGCACCCCATACATAGAGTTGCGTAGCAAGCTACCGCTTCTCGCACGTCGGCGCCTCCGTGCACAACCCCGCACCGCTCAAGTAAACACTTGTCTGCACGGTCGGTGGTTCATTTTGTTGCGTGCGCGTAGACGCTCCAACTCCAACGAGTCGCTGCTCTCGCGCTTTTCCATGGTACCCCACTACCCCAACCCTACCCCCAAACGATAGAGGATTAGGTGTCATCCGAAGCGAGCAAGACCGACGACGAAAAAACCGACACTCCTCCTCGGTGCCTCGCGGTAGCGCGATCGTTGCTAACTTGTGGACAGATGCGTCATCACATTCACCCCCGAAGAAGGGTCGCTTTTGCCGGGCGAGGTGGGCCAAGTCTCGGTGCTGTGCATGTCGGGCAAATACCCTGAACGCTTCCGAGGTCCGCTTACCTCGGTGGGCGACACTCTAGTCACTGTGCTATAGCGTCGTTCCAGTGCGAATTGCTGCAGGAGCCGCTCACGTGCGCCAGTTTCATCTCGGCCCGCGCCGAGATTCAATGTCCGCAAGTGTACTTGACGATCACGCGCATCAACTTGGGTGCGTGGACATTGCATGGACTCATTATAAGTTGAATATGACGTTGTAGGCACGACCTACATTGGCGTGCCAGTCCAAGCTACGTGCCAACTCATCAATGTGTCCAACCTGCCAGCGTCCTTCAAGTGGGTCGAGCCCCAAGGTAAGAAAATAAACGCTCGAATCGAGCTCAAATTTGCCGCTAGGTCGCTCCAAGGCGTATACGATTGAGTTTGAGCCCAAAGCTGGCAACCTGATCTCGAAAGAGTCGCTCACCATCACGGTGACCTTCACCGGTTCGAATCCCACAGTCCCTCGGCGTTTCCATCATTTCGTAGGTCGCGTGCCGGGTTTTACGAACGCTGTCTTTGCCTGCAACGTCCGCGGACTCTTGGCGCCGTTGGGGTTTGAACTCAGTACGCTCCAAAAAGGGTCGGTTATATTGTCCTGTTGGCATCTATGTACCCATGTATCGAGTAGACTCGTGCTGTCGTACGAGCTCCTCAAACCCAACGATCCCCTTCCGGAGCTCGTGCCGCACACGGACGCGCCGGCCGGCGCCTTGCTGCCCAAGCTGCAGTTTGGCGAAGAAGTCGCGCTCTTTGAGCGCAAAACGGTCGGTGGCGTTTTATGTGTACAATATTGTCTATCGACTGTCTCAACGTAGCTTCGTCTCTTGATCCGCAACCACAGTGGGATTCCGGCCAAAGTGTCGTTTGAAGCCAAGAAATACGCTGCCGCCACAAGTACTTCGAAGAACGCAGTGTACAACATGTCGATTGTCGTGTCTAGCTGAGACGCCCCCGGAAAACCTTCTGGAGCCCCCGCAGAATGTCTTTCAATCGGCCCAAGGTTCGAACGCTGCTGTCGCATCGTATGCACATTCGTGTAGGGCAGCAGTACAAGGCCGAGCAAGCCAACGTGCTAGAAGACCGCCGGGTGCTCAGCCTCGGTCACGGCGTCGCTCTTGTACGTGGCGACGATTTCAATATTGCCTCGGCGATATATATTGATGTTGGCGCGCGTAGGTGTGCTATCCTGCAGCACTGACGATTGCCGAGTGGGAGCAAGCGGTCGTCCACATTACGTGTTTCAACAACATGTCGGGGCGGTGCGGCAATATATATATTGCTAAAGAGACTGCGCTATATACGCATGTGCTAGCTACGTCGACGATATCATTGTGAAATTGGACACGATGCCCCCGGTGCGACTGAGTGCGACCATCAATGTCGTCGGGTGCCCCCTCAGCATCAACCCCAACTGCGTCGGTCTTCTCATGAAGGTATATTCGATCGCTTCGTAGGGTGTCTTGACATATCGCGTAGAACGCGGGGGTGTGGCCTGTGCTCGAGTATGGCATGCTGCCTCTGCACTCGGAGGTTTGCAATATATATTATTTCAATATGTAATATGGAATATGAACACGTGTATAGAGCGTTGTCCGCAAGGTCCAAATCATCAACACAGGCCCGATCCCAGCCAAACTCGTGTGGAAGTTGCTCGAATACCCCGACCCCGACAGCCTTGAGCGCGTTGTGGACCTTCGTATCCAAGTTCTCGACAGCGGGGTAGAAAATGCTGCATATTCATATTGTGATCGAGAGCGCGCTCACGATGGACCAGGGCCTTCAAGTGACGATTCGACCGCACTTGCAAAAGGAAGCCTCGTCTCTGCCATTCCAAGTCGAGCCCCAGGACAAGATCGTGCCCAAACATGGCCACGCTACGTTCCAAATGACATTCTTCCCCGCACGCAACACTGGCATCGGGTACTGTACTTCGATCGCCAATATTATATGGATCCCAACAATATATATTAGACTCACGCGCGCGCTCTTGGTCGCGGATGCCGAGTGGCTGCACAATGACAATGGTATTTCTTTTTCAATATGGAATGTATCAGCATAACGTGCCTAGACGGCGTCGACCACGGCGCGTCATCGGCGACACTCAGCAGCAGCGCGTCGGGGCAGACAGCGATCACCGATGGCAACACGTCGTCCGCCAAAAGCATCATGATGGGTGCGGTCGGGAAGGCCCTCAAAGCCGTGCGCCTCACCAACTCGATGGCCAAGTACAAGAACGGTACTGACTAAATATATTTAGCCAATATTCATTTACACGTTCGTAGGCTCGCTCAATATGAAGTCGTTGGCGTGCCTCAAACTGGCCATGTCGGGGCATTTGATTCAGCCCCACTTGCACTGGGACAAGGGCACGACGTTGGGCGGTCTCCAGTGCTTGACGTTTACGACCTGGTATGCATATAGTGGATTGGTACTTGATATTGACGAAATATCGAATGTTGCGTAGGTCGCTGTACACCAAGGTGCCCGACCACCCGCTCCACACGCAGGCCATTCAGCTTGTGAATCGCATGGCCACCAAGCTCACGTTTCGTCTCGAGACTTCTCGTATACCCATGCCGTGATCGACATATTGGTCATTAATATGCATAGCGGACACACCTTTTTACATTGTCGAAGCCACGTCCGTGGCGACGCCACACCCGCTTAGCCCGAGGTACGACCGGTACCAAGTGGTAGCCATATTGACCATCTTCTAGTGTGCTGTCGCCTGCGCAGCGGTCCATCAAGTTCAACCAGCAGCCAGCGCCCTGCTTCACCCTGGGACCGGGCCAGTCGGTGCACGTCAAGATTCACTACATTCCCAAGCTCGTATTTACTCAAAAGTGTCGGCAGCTGCCACAGCAGATACTTATGATAGCCGCCGCCCACATCCAGCCGACGCGAGCCCGCCGTGGTGTTTGTTTCGGGTGCCCTTACGATCCGGTTCAGCCAAGGAACGCTGCAGACGATCGAGCTCCAAGGACGCATCTTGCGCCCTATCCTCGTCCTTGCGCCGTCCCACTTCAAGTTTGGTCTCGTACACTGTGAGCACCATGAGACCGTACGGATATCCTACCTCATCCAAGAGCTCACAAAGAGCCATCCGACGCATAGGTCAAGATCTTCCTCTCCAACCCCACCGAGGTCGATGCGCATTTCACGGTGCATCATGTGCCGCAGCTCGGGTCCAAGACCGTCGACGACCCTTCGGTAATAGACGTTGCTGTACTCTGGCCCGTGATCATAGGAGGGTTAGGTGTTTCAACTCAGCCTCACATCGGGCACACTGCGTGGTCCGTCGCTGCCACTGCACAACAGCGGTGCGTGCATGCTTTTGCGGAAGGTATGTACGGTGGCGTGGTAGGCGCGCTCGTGCCGTCGCCATCGCCGCAGTACCAAGCCGCGATTCATCGACCGCTCGAAGTGCTCGTACGAGGATTTTTTTGAGTGGAGTTTGTGTCATGGGTCCGTAGGTGACGTTTGCGCCAAAGGCTGCCGCGTCATACAAGTGTCGGTTCCACTTTAACGTCGAACTCGGCGACGGCTTTGACCTTGTCCTCGAAGGTACGCATCGGAGCGTCACGAACGGTCATGTGATATGACGTCATAGGTCACGGGACGCTGGACGAAGGCAAAACGCAGAAGGTGTCGCGGTCGCTTCCGCGCGCGCAGCCACTTCGCCACTCGCATTTCATGTTTGGTGCCGTCTCCGAGTAGATGATGCAGCATCGGACGACAACATGTACATACATATAATTGACGATAGTAAAAGCGGAGTTGAACATGCCGGTGCTTCACCCTTGTCGTCCTCGACCACGCAGCACGTCAGAATCGGGCTCCTGGTTTGTTTTCTGAGTTGTCCGCTTGTTCTCCATTCGTCGCATGACACGTACTAGTACTTTGGTGGTCGAAAACATCTCCTTTCAGAGTTATGGTTGCGAAATCGTGCTATAATCGCATGCAAATACTCCCAACTTGATATTTTATATCCACAATATGACGTTGCCGCAACGTGTGTCGAGTTCCCTTGACCCAATTCACTATGTTGCGCACTGCTTGCGCACCGTCTTGGCTGGAACGCAGTGTCAAACCACATGGCAAATGCCTCTTGGCCTTGAGCTTGTTGTGTGTATGCAGCCGGACGAGCGACGACGGTATCCATGGCCTCTGTCTACACGGCTGGCTGCACCATCGAGTCGACGCTTGTTGCTGCTTGAACATGATGGATGTCGCTCGTCGTGGGGCTAGGCACTTCGGCAGACGACTGCCAATTGCGCGCCTCCATCACTGAACGCGGCGACGTATCGTCTTGCGTCGCATGCAAAGGAGTCGCGAGATCGGTGCTCCAGAGCGCCACATGCGGTCTCTCCGTCTTCATTGCTCGCTCGTCGCGTACCTTTGCAGCGCGTTTGTTTTGGATGTACTTCCAACGGCTTTGGCATTGGTCACAACTATAAAACGTCGTTAGTAGAAACCTACTGATTGGGAAACGTACTCGCGAGTGGCAACGACGTAGGCGATCGCGACCCAATCGCTCGTCAAGCTTGTCGCAAAGTGTAGTCGGTCGTTCTCGTCCATAGCCCAAGGACCGCGGTGTCGAATTGCCTTGCCAAACACCGAGTACCACGTGTGTTGGCAGTCGAGGGCCGAGTGACGAGGGAAACACGCGGCCACTTGCTCCCATGTCGTACAGGTCGGGGCAATGATCCGCAGTTGGGCCAGCTACAGGCAGTCGGTGAGCACGGCGTTCCGAGCGCTGACGCACAAACTTCGATGCCAATCCAGCCGCTTAGTAGAACCATCCTTGAACTCGACCGGCAAATTTTGATTATGACACGTCCAGAAGAACCCAGATTTATCGGGTGATAAAATGCACAAAAATATCACTCCTGGTATATCTAGTGACGTTGGAACTACGGGTGCACTTGCTAAAATGGCTTTGGGTTTATATGTGGAAATCGACCGTTCATCGAGTGCAGAGACGATGTCGTTTCGGGAGCAGCTTTGCGTCTCCTGCAACCGCCTGAGTCGTGAGCATGTCCTTATACGTCGCCTAGATGGAGTCCTTTACGATCCACATTGTCCATTTTCGGTGACAAAAGTGGTAGTCACTCTCATGTATCAAGTTGATACTAATCGCCCACCCACACACGAAAGCACGTGCGCTAGGGGACGAATCCTCGGCATACTGTGTTTCTTGCCAGAGAGATGCAATTGTACACAGTACCGTGCGAGCTGAAAGGGTCCGACCATCGATGCGTGCTTCCTGCTTGCACCGCGTAACATAACAAGTTGATAATATACGACATTCCGACGTGGGTGCCGCAGCTGAGATTGGTACTTTGATACAGCATCAACAAGTGAGGTCACAACCACCGCCACTGCAGCTGGCTCAGCGGGAAAGGAGGTACTCGTACTTGATAAGAGAGACCGCATGCGGCTGCAACGGAGCGAATACGCCGCACGATTTAGCCATTTTCAAGCTAAAACGATCGTCGCCCAAATGTCTCACTTGATACATCGCCACATAACACTTGATAACCTATATGGCATTAGTACCCTCTTCATTGTAGCAGGCTAGAACGTCCAAGGAACTCACTTTGCAATTTCATTGCTCGAGCACAAGAATGCTTTCACCAACTACATTTACTTTGCGCAACCTGTGGCGCCCAAATGAGGTCCGTATCGTATATACATTTTCGTTGCGTTTCTTATTCATCTCAATCTCGTGTAGCTGGAGCACTTGGGCATCGTTGCCCGTCAGTGCGCAACGTGGGAGGAAGTCGCGAAGCACTTTCTTCTCCATAGCGCCGCGGATTGCCGGCAAAAATGGTACACAACGTTTGCCTTGGAGGCGGGGACGCGAAACACGCGATCCTGGTCGGCGGACGAAGATGCGCGGCTCCGAAATGCAATGAGCACCCAGCGCCCGTGGATCACTGTCGCGCACATGGTGCAGACCCGCGAGTACGTTTCAAAGCTGCTTGACGTAGAGGTTGAACTCCCGGTCTGTAGCTATCGCCAGTGCCAGAGTCGCTGGCATCGCATGCTTCAACAAGGCATCGCCGTGCCGCAGGCCGACGCAGCCATTGCGCACGAAGTGCTGGCCACAACGATCGAGCCTGCAACGACCTTCGAGAGACCGGAGTCCGAAGAGATCGACGACCTATTTCGCTATTGGCAGTCTGAGGACAGTATTCCAGGCCCGGCGGCGAGCGACAACAGTCATGTTGGGGCAGCAACGGACGTCGCCTCGATGTTCGACCCTGCGATGTATTCGGCGCCCGCGGCAAATACGCCCGTCGAGACGGCGGAGCCCCTCGAAACGACGACGACAGTTGTCGCACATGTCGCTATGAGCGAAGACGAATTGACCAAGTGGTTCAGCGACACGTTTCTGCAAGAGCTCCCGATGCACGTTTAGATATTAGCGAATTAAGAAAACGTTCATATATATAAGAAAAAGTCCACAAGGGCACTCGTCGTTGCAATTGCGGCGTATGCGTGAGTGCGAAGATAGGACTTACAAAGATAACTGTCTATGCATCGTACTACTAATATATATATATCCATATGATATGCGTTGAACGGACTATGTAGCAAACACAAACATACCATCAATACCATTTGGCGTAATACTTGACAAAAAGATCCAAAACTTGAATCAAGAACACGCAAAGAAGCGTCTTTCCGTCCATTTCAGTTTGCACGAACCAAGATCATGGCTACACGACTGGTAGAGTGGATATGGTCGACACCTCAAGAGTCATATCGTCCCCGTCCCGATGCTCGTGGTCGTCGATAATGGTTGGGTTTGGCTTGGTAAGCGTCAGTCGCAGCAACGCCGTGTGCGTCGGGTCGTCGGCCAGAATCGCATGCACGTAGCCCGACGTTCCTAGCATAGGGTACGACCCGCCATGAACGGCCGTCGGTAGTCCCTGCATGCCAGACGACGCAGTCGTCATGGGCTGTCGGCGCCAGATCATGATATTCAAGTCGAGCTTGTATACGTACGGGTCGTGCACCGGTACGAGCGTCATCCCATGCACGTACCGCTGCGGATGGCACGTGTCGGCGGCGATCGGCGCTTCGCGCTCAAACCACGCCTTCTCGAAGCTCGGCGCCGACGGCTCGTACGAGTAGCCGCCAAAGACGACCAGCGTTTTCGACATCACAAACGCTTGGCACAAGAACCGCTCGCAGGGCACCGACCATGTGACGACGTGCTGGGCCAAGTGCGGGCGTGACCAAATGTGTGTGTACAGGTCGAGCACATATAGCTCCAGACGGTGGTTGGCGCGCGCCCGCTGGTGCGGCACGCTCCGGGCTTCCCAGCCGCCAACGACCGCCAAGTGCCCGGCCCCGAGCGGCAACAGCGTCGCACCAAACCGTGGTGAGGGCGGCGTACCCATCATCAGCGGCTCAGACCACCGATGACGCTTCCCGGGACTATCTCTCTCAATCGAGAGCTCCATGAAGTCCCCGTACACCGTCTGCAGATCCTTCCCGCCAAAGACGAACACTCGCGACGAGCTGCGGTCCATGGCAGCAGCGTGCCAGAACCGCCCTGGGAGCGGCGATTCGACCGGTGCGCTCTGGGTCCAGCTCCAGAGCTCGACGTCCAAGATGTGCACGTCGTGGAAGACGATGCCGTGCTTGCCGCGGCCACCAAAGACGACGAGCAACTGCGGCGGCAGGAACATGGCGCTGTGGTCGGCCCGCCCGCGCGGGAACCGACCTGTGCACCGGGGCATCTCCCACGTGTGCGACTCAGGATCAAAGACAAACACGTGGTTGGAAAAGTGCATGGTGCCATTGGCGGCCATAGGCCGCGGCACGATCGCCCGCGGGTGCGCGTGCCCCGGGTCGCTGAGGTACGCGCCGCCAAAGAGCACGAGCAGATCGTTGCACGCTGTTAGCGTTGCGCCGTCGCGTGCGCACGGCATCGCCATGTCGAAGGCGTCGGTGCCATGGGCGACAACCGGCTCCAAGCGGACGCGCGGCGTGTTGCCAAGCGCCGGCGAAATGAGCTCGAGGAGGTACTGCTGGTACGCGAGCCGCTTGGCGTCAATGTGGTTGGCCAACGACGATGTCTCTGGCGGCGCGACCTCAACTGTGTTCTTGTCGATGGCCGCCGAATTGGTATCGCTGGGACGTGGGGTCGTGACCACGTCGGGGACGGGCTCGGCGGGCTCTGGCGTGGCCGGCCTTGCGTCGCGGCTGCGCTGCAGCTTCCACTTGTGCTTCCGGAACGAGTCGATCGTTGCTGGGTCCTCGCCGTTGGTCACGCGCTGCTCAACGCTCTGGAGGTACAGTGCATGCTCGACGACCTCGAACACACTGCGCTTGCGCATGCCTGTCCAAGATACGCTTCGTTTGAACAGTATTTACCATAAACATTTAATAGTGTGACGTATTTCGCTTTGCTGGGTTTGGCCTGTCTGTCACAAAGATGGATTCGCTCCACTCGCTAGATTCGAAAACGAACGATTCGTACGTACGTAGTGCTATACGAAGCCGTCATTGTTTGACAGCGCCCAGGGACCTTGCAGCCTCCAACGCCCACCGGGAGGCATCCTATTGAACACTATTTTGTGCTTTATGTAGGTGTGATATTCTAGTTTATAAATGTAATTTAGCATACTACAATTAAGATAGAAGTATGCTGCTTATGAATAAATATAAAATAAATGCATTTACAGCACCGACATGGTTCTCGCTTGTCGCCCAATGGCATCTCGCCATTTCCGAGCGGTCTTCATCTACCTGCCGCCGTCGAGCAAGATGCTGGACCACGACCATCTCCACTTCATTGCGACCAAGATCCAGGAGGATCCCAAGTTCTGGCTCGCGGTTCTCGCCGCCATCGTCGTCCCTCTCTTCATTGTTGCGCTTCTTGCGGCCAAGTCACTTATCGACAGCATTGACGCCGACGAGCGCAAGTCCAAGGCGGCCGCGGCCAAGAAGACACAGTAAGTACCAGTCACCATACGCTGTAAGTACTACGTTTTCGCAACGGCTGTCCTCTAACTCTGCTTTACGCCGCCGTCTTTTTGAGCTGGATCGTCGGGTACTGCGGATGGACCTTGAACGCAATCTCGAGCGCGGCCTTCTTGTTCGAGAGCGAGAGCGACTGCAGCGAGAGCGCTGTCTTTTCCTTCTCGAGCTGCGCGAGGTACACGCCGTTGGCGACGCACACCTTGGTGAGCGCCTTGAGCTCGAGCGCGAGGCGGGTTGGCAGCGACGGCTTGGCCAGCACTTGCTCCATGTGGCCACGCGCCATCTTGAAGCATTCGTCCGAGGATTGGTACACGACATGGACGTCGTACTGCGAGAAATCGCAATTGCGCGTCATCTCGGCGTGCGAAAGCGGCTGCGGGTACTGCAAATTCTGGAACGGCAGGAAGCGGTGCGCATACCGGATCTCGGGCGACCCGTACACCGGCACGTCCGCAGGCAAGAGACCGTCCAGCTGCAGCCCCACCACGTACTAGTTCCATAAACTTGGATAAAACGAGATGGCGTACGAGGCAAGATCGTACCTGGAACATGGCACGGACCAAGGCGCGGTGCGTCTCGAGAAGCGCAATGTCGAGCGCATACTTCTCCTTGACTGGGTCCACGATGGCCTCGGGCTCGGGCTTGGCCTTTGCCGCCGGCTTGCCGCCCTTCTTGGCGTTCTTCTTGAGCGCCTTGGTCGGTGCTGGCGGCGGCGTCGACGATTCGGGGCGCGTCATCGTCTGGAGCTTCTCGACAAACGACCATGCATTGGTCAGGTTGTGTATCCGCGTCCCGAGCAGGTAGTCGAGGTAGCTAACAGAGTGTCTCAACCCTATCGACGTCTATGGACGTACCAATACATGGTGCCAAACTCGGACGACGCGTACAAGTCGAGTTCAAAGCCGAGGTAGAGGTACTGCTGCATCAAGCCCAGTGTTTGCTCGAGAGCCCACGCCGTAAAGTACCGCGGGTAGTTGGCTTTCTATCTCGATAATATCAATCTATCAGTTCCCGAGAGTGCACATTTTTGTACGGGAATGCCCATTTCGGTGACAAATTTGTCATCGATCGCGACAGCTTCCGACTCGAGGATGACCCAGTCCTGGAGCATGAGCTCCAAACGCGAGCGCTGGCGCGGCCGGTTGTGCATATGCAGCTTGAGCGACTCGTAGACAGCTTCGATGCAGCGCGACGAGTACGTCATGCCTTCTTGCGTCGAGAGGAGCACCGAGGGCACGCCCGCCATGACCATCGAGTCGCCGAGCCACTCCATAAAGTTGTACTGCCCGTACATTTTTTTGTCAATGTACAAAAAGAGCTATAATCGCATGTCCGCCATAAGAAACTAAGAAAATAAGAAACAAAAATGCAAACACGTACGAGGATGTAGGAGCGGACGAGAATGTTGGGCGTGAGCGACGACATGTGGCTCAAGAACGCCTTCAGGTCGTCCATGGACTTGAACGTCTCGGGGGCCGTCCCGAGCCGGAGGTGCGCGCAGAGCGTTTGGTTGGTGCCTACGACTGTCGCGAACGACTCGAGCTTGGCCGCGCGGGGCGGTGCCGTCGACGCCAACACACGTCCGATATGGTTGTCGAACCCGACGTACGCCTCTGGCTGCAAACACGCGGATGGCACTTCGAGCGACTCGGTCGCAAGCTGCCCGAGGTGCGTCTTGGCAACGTCCAGAAAGTGCGTCGCGCGCTCCAAGTCCGGGCACTCGGCCGTGCCCTAGCATATACATAAGAGCACGAACTTTCGATGGACGCTTGTGCGTACGAGACTCGCGAGCGCAAAGTAGAAATTCTTCTTGTACTGGAGGCGCGTCGAGAGGAGCTGCGCAAACTCGAGGCCGAGCGTCGCATGCAGGGGCTCGATCGATGTCGGCTTCTTCTTGTTCGTCTTCGCTGCGAGCGCATCCAAGCGCTGCTCGGCGATTTCAAGCGCCGCAAAGACAAGCGCGTCATCGATGGCGTCGCCACGCGGCACGTCGGCACTCGCGGGCGCAAAGTCCTCTTCTTCGTAAATGTCGGCGCGGAGAATCGCGTTGCGCTGGATCGTACACGCCTTGATCGTCAAGAGAAGGTACGCTCGGAAGATGCAGAGGAGCGAGTCGTTTTTGGAATGACCGACCGCCAACGACATGACCTCGTCGCACTCGAGCTGGAGGAGTGCGCTCGAGACGACCGGATGCAAATACAAGCACATCAAGAGCGACTGCTCCATGGACTGGCCGTTGCGCCATGCGCTTTCACACTGCTCAATGCGGTCGAGTGTCGCGACAAGGCTCGTCGCGGACGTGAACGTCATTGGGATCAAGCCTACGGTCGCAAGGATAACGACAAGGAAGAACGAGGATGGCAGGCGCACCTTTGGCGAGGCGCTCGGCCACGGGCAGAATGAGCTCGTTCTGGCCGACCATGCCAGCGTCCATCTTGGGGTCCATGAGCTCGAGCGCCGACATGGACTCAAAGTAGTTGAAGAAGGGTACGTGCACCATTTGGCTCAGCGTGAGCGCGTTCGACGCATCAAAGAAGAGCTACGGAAGGCGTGAAGAGGCCACGCCCATGCGGCTGCCACGTACCTCGGTCGCGTCCGACCATTCGGCGGTCAAGAGGTCCTCGGCCACGTGCGGTGCCGCAACAGCCATTTCTTACAGATTGGAGGCGCTTAGACACGCACACGTCGTGGGAATTAATTTCACACGCGAAAAAAGCGCTCTTTTCATGTCTTTGCTCTTTTTCACGTCCTTTTCCACGTTCCCCACCATGGGTTTTACACACACGATTACGGCGTCTCCGGAAACGTCGCGCCTGTCGTATGGCTAAACTCACGCACCTTAACAGGTCGGCCCTCGGCTCGAGGTTGGTGCTTTGCCTGGGTTGCGATTACTTTTCTGTCCACGAGTGATTCCATGCAAACATCAACGTATTTATGGTAGGTATCAAGCTCATCGGCGTTATGCTCGACAAGAATCCCAATAGCCGTGGTAAAGGGGCGTGCATCTATCCTTGCCGCGTCAACGTCCCCGCTATATCGAATATAAGAGGTTTATCCGGCGGATACTCCGAGCAAGAGGCATCGTCCCGTGGCATGCGATTGCACAGGTGCTCCACTCGATGACGATGACGGCATCGCATCAAATGTGAGAGGTTTCGTTGGCGCCAACAGCGACTTTTTATGACGTGTTGCCCAGGCGCGTGTTGGGGCCGCGGCACATATGCGTTCTGAGAGGTTGGGGCCTGTCGCAGTGCTTGCGTCAACGTTGCTGGTGCTGACGGTTGGGTTGATGCGCTTCAGATTCTAAGATTGCACAGAACATCAGCCAGAGACGATGCAAGCACCAGCGCATGAGACGCCAGAACAAGAACAACATCCTCCACTGAACCCACCACCGACCATGCCATCCAAGCTCGGGACCGAGAGTCCGAGCGCCGAAGCCACGACGACGCTCACGAACCTCATCGTCGCCTTTCTCGAGATCTCGTCGTCCTTTCTGCGCTTCAAGCACACGGGGCCCGTGGCGTCGCAGTCGCTTCAAGCTGTCGCTGGTACATTGCTTGTCTCGGCTCGACTGACGTAGTCGAACATGTAGCGGCGCTCGAAAAGCCCATGGTCATCAAGGCGCTTTGTCGCATCATGCAGGTATGGGCCACGGTAGTCGCGACCGATGCGTTGCATCGATGCTCACGTGTCGACTAGACGATCGCGATGGCCCTCGAGAAGGAAATCGTGCTAGAGTCCGTCGCGCAGTCGCTCGACATGACCGCCAACAAGCTCAAGAAGGAGAGCGTGACGACCGAAGCGATCATGCAGCTCATTCTGAACCTGAGTGCCCAAGGCATCTCGGGCGTCAACACGCTTCTGGACCAAGACGTTGTTCTCAAGGGGTACTTGGATGCGCTCGAGACGTTCAAGCCCGTCCTGCACACGGCCAAGGATCTGTATGACTACAGCATGACGTACCCGGCCGTGAGCTACATGGTCTCGCAGCTGCAGCACCAAGCGACGGCGCGTGGGCACCACATTACGTCGCTCTTGACCAACCCGCGCGTGCACACGGCCATCTCCACCGCGACGTCGCTCACGACGAATGCGTGGAACCAAGCGTGGGAGTACTCGCCGTTCGCCTCCAAGGCCAGCAACGCCGAGCGCGAGAAGCTGCGCTCTGAAGTCATGCTCCACGCCCAAGTGCCCTTCGCCGGCATGTCCCTCGAAGACATGCTCTCGACGAACGAGCAGGTGCGCGACGCGATGGTGCGGCTCGCCGTGGCCAAGGACGCCAAGATCGCGCAGCTGGAAAAGTCACTTGCCGACACCAATCAGTATGCGACCGAGCTCGCCGAGGCCATCGCCAAGGGCCCGTACCACAAGCGCCCGCCCATGTCCTACTAGAGGATCGCAAAATCCTTCTAATTTATGTGTCACTGGACGGCGGGCAAGTCACGCGGAACGCGCGTGTTTCGTGCGCTTTGAAAGCGCGTGTGACGTTAATGGCCCCTAATTTTATTCTTTTTGGTGCGTTTCTCTCGGTGTTTGTAAGGAATTAAAACGTGCGAAAAAAGATGGACGCGTCCCACGCCAAGCCCAGAACGAGAAAGGGTCGGTCGAAGCCAGACGTCGACGCAAGCTCCAAGGCAGCAAAGCATGGTACGTGGCAGCACCGCAGCATGGCCTCCTCGGCAGGCGGCAACGAGCTCAGGCGGCTCATGGCAACCTAGTTTTTTGGCGGACAAGGCGGCAACAACCCGTTCGGGGTCAACTTTGGCTTTGGCCACAACTTCCCGCAGCGGTATATCCTCGATCTTTGATCTGCACGCGCCTCTTAGCCATGGTCGCTAGCTTTGACGAGCACTACCGCGTGTACCCCGTGTCGTTCTGCGACAAGGCGCACTTGGAAGACGGCGACAAGAGTACGACGACGATTCTTTGGCATCGTTCATCCTTGACCGATGGTGCGCATAGTTCTCTTGCCACCGTCCGCGCTCGAGACGCTGGGTACGCGCCCGCTAGCGCTGACCAGGATGGCAATCATAGCATGCTGTACTAGCGCGCTTGCACATCGAGTACCCGATGCTCTTCAAGATCAAGAACGAAGCGGTCAACCGTGTGTCGCACTGCGGCGTCCTCGAGTTTAGCGCGCCCGAGGGCAGCTGCTACATGCCGTACTGGGTAATGCATCGTCGACACCAACGAGATGAGCCTCATGCGCTATCGCTAGATGATGCAAAACATGTTTTTGACCGAAGGCAGCATCCTCAACATCCAGAACGTCACGCTGCCCAAGGCGACATTCGTCAAGATTCGCCCACAGTCCAAGGACTTTCTCGACATTACCAACACCCGCGCCGTGTACATCTTGTCGATACTCGGATGCGACGTGTCTCATCGCCTTGGTGCCTAGCCTCGAGGCGTCGCTGCGCAAGTACTCGTGCATGACGGTCGGCGACACGATTTGTATCCAGTACAACAACCGCAACTACCTCCTCGACGTCCGCGAGGTGCGCCCCGTCGAAGCCGCGAGTATCATTGAGACCGACTGCGAAGTCGACTTTGAAGCGCCCGCCGACTATGTCCCACCGCCGGCCCCCGTGGCCGCGGCGGCGCCCGCCCCCGTCTCCAACCAGCCGTTTGGCGGTGTGCCCACAATGAAGCGCGAAGCATTTGCTGCCGCCCGCCCGGCCTCGCGCGGCTCTGGCCTCGGCGGTCTCCGCATGAAGAAGGCGACCGACCAAAACACAGACGCCGACGCACTTCGCGCGGCGCGCCTGAAGCGCTACGAGGCGTTCCACGGCACTGGCGTCTCGCTCACGGGCGCAACTTCGACGTACGCTGCTGCACCGCCGACGACGGCGCCGACGAGCGCTCCAAAACCCGAGGAGGCAGCGCCCAAGCCAGCGCCCAAGCCGTTCGAAGGCCAAGGCAACCGGCTTCGATAAGTCATATGCGCGAATCCACACCTTTGGTTGACACCGCATGTGCGCTTGACGTTTCTTTGCTGTTGGGAGTAC